TCAATTCGTTCCAAAGTGTTGTTGGGCTTTTTCCATATTACTGCACTCTCCAGCGTCGCCGTCTTTTCCTGTAGTGTTTATGCCGGGTGGCGGCAGTAGTTATTTTTTTTTTTGTTTTTTTTTTTTTTTGGCGAAAGCAGGAAATCATATTAAACACAATCCGGTCAGAAGACCAGATCCAGCCCCCACCTGTTACAGTGACACAGAACACATTTAATCAACTCACAGACACATTAGAAAAAGTTTTCTTTCGAGCTAGTGCAGCTAAATCATTACGAGCCAAACAAATGCCGATAGTGGAGGGGGGAGAGGGGAGCGAGGATTGGGGAGAGGGGAGAGGGGAGAGGGGAGAGTGAGAGTGTGTGGTGGTGGTGTTGAGGATGGGATGGGATGGGATAGATCAATAGAATGAATGGGGCTGGTGGATAGGACGGAGATAGCAGGCCGTGCCGCCGCCGGTTGAGAGGTGCGCGATGAGAAACTTTTGTTCCTTGGCGCTTTCCGTTCTGTCCCGAAATCCCGACCTCGTCCTCCTGATCATCAAGCACATGCCCTGGCCGCCCTTGTCAACATCCCTCGGTGCAACAATGTGAAGGTGTGAACACGCACGGCAACCCAGTGCATCCCTAGGCCCATCGTGTCGTGGCCATGTACATGGACATTGCCGCTGGTTCGCGCAATCTCTGAAAGCCCCTCGACGACGACAAAAGCTTCAAAGTCGTGGCGGATGTCGGTAGAACAGGCACCTAGGTATCGCTTCACGCTTCCTGCACCTCTAGCATCGAGCTCACTTCATGAGTTGTGCGTTTGAATGAAGGTCTGGCTACGCCATCACTGCACTCTTGCAATTGATCCTTCATGTCGCAATTTGTCATTGGCCAGGTCAAGTAGCAGTACTTGCAGTCCACTTCATCAAGCTACAGAGTGCTCTACTACTAGGATGGATTCTGGTACCCTCGCCAAAACTCAACCCCGCGTGCACAGTCCTCGGTAGAACTTTCCCCGCTAGAACATGGCAGCTTGAAAAGGTCCCAAACCATGAAATCCTTACTTGCACCACCAACAGCCCATTCTCCGCTCTTGCAGTCATGTCAGACCCCTCCGCTGATACTGCGCGACCCGTCAAACGTGCTCGCCTCGAAGATACTGCCGCGCCTGCACCTTCCACATCGGCCTCAATCGCATCCTCCACCACAGCACCCATACCCACTGCGCCTGCCTCCATTGACACGGATCTAGAGCGCGAAGTCCGCGCAGGTATCACCCAATACGTCTCTCCTGATCATCTCGGCTTTACCGGTGTGTTGAAGCAGAGATATACGGATTTCTTGGTCAACGAGATTGGGTTGGACGGCGGGGTTGTGCATTTGAAGAGCCTGAACATGAAGAGGAAAGAGGGCAAGAAACCTCATGGGAAGGAGGCGAATTTGGTGGAGAATGAGCCAGAGGGCGAGGCCGGGGGTTTGGGGCCGGTGACCAAGATTATAGACGAGGGCGATGACGAAGGAGTAAGGACAGAGCCTATCAAAGTGGAGCCTGCGCTGGACCAGACGATCCCAGTACCTGAACAGCAGACTGGTGAGAATGAGCAGGTCAAGAAGGCTGAGGATAGGGAAGAGGTGAGCTGCTGAACTGATTAGCTACTTCAAGGCCCCTAATGTTCTCTTCAGCTTTCCGAACAAGATCGCACCACGCTCCACTCGATCTTTGGCGAAGACACCACCAAGCTCTTACTGGCCCTCGTGCGACAAGTGCGGAAAGGCGGAAACAAGAAGGCAAAAGAATTCAAGGCTGTCATTGCACCGCCCATAACGGACAAGGAGCGACGAACCGAAGCCCACAAATGTCTGCGCCGCATATTCCCAAATCTGCTGGAGAGCACCATGGAGCCAGATCAGTCCATTCGCATCAAGGCCACTCCCCCAGCGGAACGTGGAGGTCGGGCCAAAGGCGGGAACCAGGGGCGCAGAGACCCGGCTGCTGGCAGGCAAAGAGGTCAGACACGCTGGGAGGATCTTGGCGGTGACTTCCTGCACTTCACCCTGTACAAGGAGAACAAGGACACGATGGAGGTAGTCAGCTTCTTGGGAAGCAAGCTCAATTGCGGGCCCAAGGGCTTCGGTTTCGCTGGCACAAAAGACAGGCGTGCATGCACTAGCCAGCGCGTCTCCGTAAGGCGACAAACTGCGGACCGCATGTATTCCTTCAACAAGGTCCTCTTCAACGCCGCAATCGGTGATTTCGAGTACCACACCAACGAACTGAAGCTTGGAGATCTGAAGGGTAACGAGTTCACCATTACACTCCGCAATTGCCATTTCGAAAGCGAAGACAGTGGCGATGCCTCGCAGCGCCTCAGGCTTGCCAATGAAGTAGTTGGAAAAGCTATCCGGGATTTTTCGGACTGTGGTTTCATAAATTACTACGGTCTCCAACGCTTCGGTTCATTTGCTACCAGCACCGACGCCATTGGTCGCAAGATGCTGCAAAACGACCTCGAAGGTGCCGTCGCAGACCTCCTCGCCTACAACCCAGTCGCCCTCACCGACACAGACCCGACCTCCACATTCTCCCCTATCCTCATCTCCCAGGACGACCGCAAACGCGCACAAGCCCTGCACCTCTGGCATACTACCGGTTCTGGTACTGCAGCCCTCGATCTGCTCCCCCGAAAATTCACCGCCGAACGCAACATCATTCAACACCTCAGCTCGCGCAACTCCAAAAGCGGCCAACATGACCGCAAGACAGACTGGCAGGGCGCACTGATGACCATTCCCCGCAATCTACGTCTCATGTATGTCCATGCCTACCAATCCCTCGTCTGGAACGTAGTAGCTGGTCATCGCTGGCGCACGTACGGCTCCCAAGTCGTCGAGGGCGACCTCGTCCTCGTAAGCGAACATGGTTCCCAACAAACAACCTCCTCCACCAACAACAACAACCCTCTGGACCAGAATGGCGAACCTATCATCGACCCTTCAGGCACGGAGAACGCAAACGCAGCAGCCTCGGACTTTGAACGCGCTCGCCCCCTGAGCGCCGCAGAAGCGGGATCCGGCGCCTACACCATCTATGACATTGTGCTCCCACAGCCCGGCTTCGACGTCGAATACCCGCGCAACAAAATCGGCGCCTTTTACACGGAATTCATGGCTAGTGAGCGCGGCGGAGGCCTGGATCCGCATGATATGCGCAGGAGTTGGAGGGAGATCAGTCTGAGCGGCGGGTATAGGAAGGTGCTTGCCAGACCGTTGACCAAGGTTGGGCACGAGGTGTATGAGTATGTGAAGGAGGATGAGCAGTTTGTTGAGACGGATTTGCAGAGGTTGGGGAAGGGGAGGACGAGTGGGGAGAGAAAAGGTGAGGAGGAGGATGTGAGCATGGAGGATGGGGAGGCAAAGGAAGAGCAGGCGAAGAAGATTGCTGTCGTGCTGAGATTGCAGTTGGCTAGCAGCCAGTACGCGACCATGGCGCTGAGGGAGCTCATGAAGGCTGGCGGTGCCAAGGCGTACAAGCCGGAATACATGGGCGGGAGGTAGGTAGTCGATGAGCAGGGCTGAAAAAGCCCTAGTTAGCTTCGAACAAAAGTGATGTAGTGTATGCATGCACACATGCATCATGCACACCATTCACTCCAGTGTCCCAGCAAGCGCGATTTCACTGCTCTTAAAAGTCCATGTGATATACTCTCATACTCTATACATATCCCTTCCATCCACAGCGGCTATATATACAATATACCACCTTCCGCCACCATCACCACTTGATCTTACTCTTTCAATCTCGCCCTAGTCCGTCCCATTGATCCAACTCGTTCACATGATAGTATCGATCTACTCAAAACACAGACGGACCAATGCCAGCGCGTCGAGCGAAAGAAAAAGACAGTTAAAAAAAACCCCTCTTCATTACCACATCAATCCGTCATCTCTCATGCTTTATGCCTCATCTCATCAACTTCGTTACACCGTAAAACAAAGAAGGGTTGACAAAGGTAGGTAGGTATGCGATATACACCTCCAACCTTGCTCTCAAAAGAATAACGCCACAGAAAGAATATAATAGGAGATGACAAGACATTATGCAGCCAAAGAGTCTTCTGAGCCTGCAGAAAGAACCGTGGTCAGACAAGATTTATGTGTGGGTGTGCCTTTGTTGTGTTGTGGAATGTTTATAATGATCGGCACGTGCTGGCTGGCCTCAAGATTGTCCAAAGCCAGGCTATAAATGAGCAGTGTAAGAGAGGCGGATGTTATGCTGATTGGTCTCGAATTTTTGAAGCTTAATGGGATGCCAGACTGAATGCAAACAATGATGTAATAGACTCGCTAAAGGTAATTCCATGTATGCAAAACAGGAAATGCGGGTAGATGGAGGCATCTTAGATGGTGTAGTTCTGCGTGATTCAGTTTTCATCGACGAAATAGAGTCTTGTGGTTGAGTGGCGAGTCGAATGGCATTGGCCCTCTAATCCGTCCTCCTCTGGCGACGGGCGTTGAGCCTGTGCAGAAGACGCAGACATATACAGGAGGCAGGCTATTGGCGGTAAGCCCAAGACAGCTCATATGCAACCATTTAGTACAAGACTCGCATTGAACCATGGACTGTCCTTCGTCGACACCATTGCAAACACAACGTGTAGCTTCATTCGACAGACTGCTGCGATCAGTCGATGGCGTATTTATATGAGGTGAGCCGTTGAAGGAGTTGGAAAATGGATCGTATGGACCGTAGCCATGTGGGGAGTAGTTTACATCGGCTGAAGCCTGTGCCCAACGCTGGTTGTGTGCTTTCAGGGTATTGTGGGATGCCCGCTCAACTCTTTGCTGACGCCCAGCGACTACCTTCTTGAGCGCGCCTAAAGCATCACCGGGAGAGTCTGGCGGTGAGTTATTGATGCTCTCCTTGATGTTGAAATGATCGACAGGCTTTGGAAACTCCATCATGCTCAAGCTTCGAGTCGGTCTTTCAATAGGTCTTCGAGTAGGACGAGCAACTTCAAAAGAAGCTTTATCAAAAGCCCCAGTTGATGTTCTCGAAGATGGCCGAGGGATCTTGAACGAGTTTGCTCGGTCCAAGTTACCGCTGTCAGCCCTCGCATGCTTTGAAGCACGTCGCTGTGGTTGCGGTACATTGAGGGATGTGTTGCGACTGATCATGGGTGCCGGTTCGTCGTCCTCAGACTCACTTTCGCCCTCCTCCCATAGTCCAGGATACTGCCTTCTAATTACGGTCTGTGATGGCCTCCTCATTGGTTTTGGTGTATCTTCCTCATCTACTGTCTCTGTCTCTGTTCGTGCTCGGCCAGTCTCATCGATGATGAGGCGTGTCCGCGGTCTTCGAGTCTCTGGTATCGACTTTAGTGCCGCGCCATTCGACCGCTTAAGAGGTGACATCCGGCGTGGTATGGTCGATGCAGCAGCTGGGGCCGAGATTCTTGACTCGATCGAAAGTGTTCTGTCCTTCCTGAAGCCACTGTCCGTGTTGCTACGCTGCAATCCCGGCCTCATGTTCTCTACAGAACCCGCAGAGGAGCTTGTGTTACTACGAGAGTGCTGGCTTCTGGCTTTCCTGACGGTCTCCCTATCACGTATGGACTCAGTCTGAGTCTCATATGGCTGTCTAGAGGCGTCCTTTTTGAGGGCTGGCTGTGGCACGTCACCAAACGAGGTCATTGTCCCTTGGTGGGAGAAGCTGAACAGCATGTTGGGATCTACCCCAGCAGATGTCGAGACGAATGAATTTGCTTGTGAGTTTTGGCCCGCGCCCATGTTGCCTGCACTAAAAGAAGTCATCTGGCCCTGGGGAGGCATACCCTGGAAGGATTGAAAAGCCTGAGACTGTATCTGGGCTGTAGCAGGCGATTGGAGTGCTTGCCAGTGCAGATCTTGCTCAGGCCTATGTGGGGTGGGACCAAAGGGATCCTGGTAGGGCAAATCGACATCCATGTGTGAAACATCATTGGCCTGATCCCAGAAGAGACGCGACTGTGGCATAGAGGGCGTTGAGAGTGGTATATTATTGGGGAAACCCATGATGTCGGGCGTGTACTGTACGTTGACAAGTCCGAAAGGGGTCTGGTCAAAGAGTGCCTCGGTCGAGGGCGCCTGGTAGGGCGTCCGGTGGATGACCGTAGCAGGCGTGGCAAATGCAGTACCACCACTTTGCTGGAGGCTTCTTCGAGACGTGGCATCTCTCGTAGGAGGAGGGGTTTGCATCTGTGAGAAGTCCATGCTGACGGGAGGATGTGCCGAGCGACTGTCCAACGGGTTGGCTCCACCAAGTTTCTTCAGCTGATGCGGGTCTGGAGAGGACGACAGTCTTCGAGCGAGCTCGACAGGCGGCAGAGGCAGGTTCTGTGGGGCGAAGTGGTTGACATGGAAGTCAGGGTCCTCGGGTGTTTGGAGCGTGGGGCTCACTGCGCTGGGTGGCCGGTCTGTGGGCGTCGAGAGGGTGAAGGATGGGGTTTGGATTGGCGTCTGCTGTTCGTAGACTCGTGGCGTTGCCCAGGCGTCGAGGAAATGCGAGTGAGGAACCGACTCTGTCTTGGGCGTCTTGAGATTTGCTTCTGGAAAAGTGGCCGACTTTGGGGTGGAGGAGGGACTTGGGAGATGCCAGTCCGTCGATCTAGCACGCGAGCCACATTAGCCTCAACCACTTGCAGTAGGCGAACGAGCAGGTCAAGTGAGCGAATTGGAACAGCCTGTCAAAGGAGCAAAAACGAAAGAAACAATGTGTAGCCAGCATCTGGCCAAATTATCTGCAGACTGGAATGTAACTTTGAAGTTTGGGGCTGGCGCTTGTGGGCCAGGGTAATTAGGGCTTCAGATAACAACCGTGCGGTGCTGCCTGGCCTGCCCCTCCGCCTGGAGCCCAAACCTCCATTGGGAGCCGTGGAGGGCAACTATACACAGTATGACTGCCAACAGACAGGATTCCAGAAGAGACCGCCGACCGGCCGCTGGGGGGCGCCCTGGCTGAGCTGGGCAGCAGCTGGGCAGCATCGTCTGCTCGCTCCAAGAGGCTAAGAAGAAGGTGCACACACGGGCATCGCGAACTGGGTAGAAGGGAGCCCATACCCATATACGTGCTGTTCCAAACTCATACTCAGTCCAGGGACACCGTGTTCCTGCTCCTACAGCTCATGCAGCGGGCGATATCAGACGGCGACGGTGGCCAAGGGGGCCGAGGGGGGGGGGAGGGAGCGAGGTTGGAGCGAGGACTCGAAGGTGGGGGGGGGGCGGCGTTTGGTGAGGGCCGAGAAAGAGTGAAAACTGAAGACTGAAAACTGAAAACCCAGGATCTGACTGAAGATGGCGGCGTGG